AATAAATAAAACGTTTCCTTTTTCTTATTAATAAATATTTAGGTTATGTCACCTGTAATGTCCACTTTAAAATGCTGTATAATAGATCTTATTAATAAATATTTAGGTTATGTCACCTGTAATGTCCACTTTAAAATGCTGTATAATACATCAAATAAATAAATACTTACGATATTTTGCTCTACAGAATCTCTGTACAAAAATAAACTGAGTTAATGATATATGTATCATAGATTTTTATGGAATTCTACTCGTTTATATGATCCCTTTTGACAAAAATATCAGTTAATTCTAAGCATTTCAACAAAGTTGTACTTTTTGTAACGAAGCAGCACTTTTGCACATAATTCTATTGACTTATTACTAGAAACGCTACACTTCACTTGTTTGAAAATTTAGATACATTCATCATAACATTATTTACCGGAAGTAAACAATTTATATAGTGTAAATTCAGGAAAAACGCTAAATATTAGATTTGTATGCATAGAACAGACAAATAAGTCTGGAGGGAGAGTTAAAAAGTAAGAAAAGTAGAATGGGGGAAGATGTAAAGACATCCACATTTGTTGGGGAATCCAGTCTATTACACCCAATCTCTATGTTCCCAAGACTCACATCATGGGAAAATTAAAACTTGGATCAGGGACTAACCGGTCTATTACACCCAATACCTATGTTCCCAGACTCACATCAAGGAAAATTAAAACTTGGATCAGGGACTAACCGATGTATTACACCCAATCTCTATGTTCCCAGGACTCACATCATGGGAAAATTAAAACTTGGATCAGGGACTAACCGGTCTATTACACCCAATACCTATGTTCCTTAGACTCACATCAAGGGAAAATTAAAACTTGGATCGGAGACTAACCGGTCTGTTACATCCAATCTCTATGTTCCCAAAACTCCCATCAGGGAAAAATTAAAACTTAAATCAGGGACTAATGCCTTATAGCTGGTTTTCCATTTATCATAATGCTCAAAATCTGAATTAACAGCATATAAAGCCTTAGATGCCAAAGAAAATAATACAATGTTAATTAAAAAATAGGAAAAAAACATACTTGTTACAACATGATTGGAGTTCAGGTGTGAGAAAGATACAGATTTCATTTTTTCTTTATAATTAAGTATATATTTGAGTTATGTCTTAAGTCATACTTTTGACAGTGAATGAAGGGCGAATTGACAAGTTCAGGTTATATTATGCACTTAAGGTTTTGAGATATTGAATATTATTGCAGTTATGCACGTCGTGGACCTGAGCATTATTATCTGATTTAAATTAGAACTGAAATGAACATATAATACTTACAATCAAATCTGAAAAACGAGTTTCCCCCCCATTGCTGTCTGGGCCCTGTTTTATTTATCAATGCGTACGACACTTATTTTGAGCCCGATTAGTTAATATTAGAAATATGTGATCGGAGGTACGACGATGTTATTGTATTATATGTTGCATTTCTATTAGCTATTCATACCAGTGTTGGTTACAATGTAAATATACTAGCTGTCTCTTTGTACGTTTCAGATATAGATGTCTAGGAAAACATGGATTTCAACTGAAGCGTCATTTCTAACAAAAGCGATTTTTACTGATGTATTTTGATACCATTTTCTTGACGTCGAACCTAACTTTTCTTTTGGGATCTGAACAGTTTCTTCAGCGTTCTACACTTTCTAGTCTCCGAAGAAGTATTAAAAATCATTAAGTGTGAGCTCGTGAAAAAATTAACCAATCCACAACAGATAACCTTGGACTGTTAAGTTATATGAAGACAATTTGCGGTCAAGGATCCAGAAGCTATATTACAGTTGGCATGAAAAACCATGAGTTAATACATGTTTTACTTGGCAAGAATCTTAATCTTCCTTCTACTACTTGTCCCTTACGGATGCGATGTTAAAACACACCCTCGGAACACCAAAAATAAAATAAGGATCCTGCTCGCTAATTATCGTGGTTAAACCTATGACTTTCACTGCGATACAATGACGAACTTGTTTTGCCACAAGTATACTGTGTAGATAAAAACCACAATTATTATCGTAACGAAATGAGACTATCTTTACGGTACTGGAACTATGTTGCAGAGACATCGAACTACTTATAAAACGTACATTCTAAGTTTTGAGCCACCCACTCCACCCCAATGGCTTACCATTAAACTTGGGGTTTCTGATGCTAAAATATGGAGTTTGATCCTTGCGCTGAGTAGAGCAGATAGCCCATTGTACAGCTCTTTGCGTAACAACCGAACCTAGTTTTTATTATTAGAGATTATTTGGAAGACGGTCCGGTAAAACGTCTTCAAGTCTGAATATACAGACATGTTTTAATAAATATGAGAAGTGATATAACTGAAAACTCATATTTATTAAAACAGATCTTTGTCGAATTATTCACATGATTGAATTAATTTTCAGAAGATCCTCTACTTCAGCCAACATAAGGATTCTGAAATCACTTGGACACACACACACTGGCTGATTACAGTACCTAATGATTCTGAAGTCACTTGGACACACACACACTGGCTAATTACAGTACCTAAAAATTCTGAAGTCACTTGGACACACACACAAACACACTGGCTGACTAAAGTACCTAAGGATTCTGAAGTCACTTGGACACACACACACTGGCTGACTACAATACCTAATGATCCTGAAGTCACTTGGACACATATACACTGGCTGACTACAGTGCCTAATGATTCTGAAGTCACTTGGACACACACACACTGGCTGACTACAGTACCTAATGATTCTGAAGTCACTTGGACACACACACACACTGGCTGACTACAGTGCCTGATGATTCGAAGTCACTTGGACACACACATACACTGACTGACTACAGTGCCTAATGATTCTGAAGTCACTTGGACACACACACACACTGGCTGACTACAGTACCTAATGATTCTGAAGTCACTTGGACACACACACACACACTGGCTGACTACAGTACCTAATGATTCTGAAGTCACTTGGACAGTGTGTACCAGTCAGAAGTGCCTTAAAGGACCATGATCAACCTGTGTGTACCAATCAGAAAGTGCCTTAAAGGTCCATGATCAGCTAGTGTGTACCAATCAGACGTGCCTTAAAGGACCATGATCAGCTACTGTGTACCAGTCAGAAGTGCCTTAAAGGACCATGATCAACCTGTGTGTACCAATCAGAAGTGCCTTAAAGGACCATGATCAGCTAGTGTGTACCAACCAGAAGTGCTTAAAAGATCCATGATCAGCTGGTGTGTACCAGCCAGAAGTGGCTTAAAGGACCATGATCAACCTGTGTGTACCAATCAGAAAATGCCTTAAAGATCCATGATCAGCTAATGTGTACCAGTCAGAAGTGCCTTAAAGAACCATGATCAACCTGTGTGTACCAATCAGAAGTGCCTTAAAGGACCATGCTCAGCTAGTGTGTACCAATCAGAAGTGCTTTAAAGGTCCATGATCAGCTAGTATGTACCAGTCAGACGTGCCATAAAGAACCATGATCAGCTAGTGTGTACCAATCAGAAGTGCCTTAAAGCGACTGCAGCTTCATCTGGTCAGTCAAGCGAGAAAATATCTTATAAACGTTCAAAAAGAAAAAGAAAGAACTTGTTTGGATGGGCCTCGGTTGCTCCGTTAAATTTTGAAATTGTAGGTTCGTTTATTTTAACTTGATATGAGACGTACTGGAAGTGATTTTTTAAAAATAGAAACGTTTTTTTTAGTACCTGACATTTATAGATTTGTTAATAGCTCTACTTTTGAATGTACTGCGATTACAGACTTTATGTAAATCACACATAAGCTTTACAGTTGCGATTACTGTAAGTATTGAATTTTTTTAAAGTTTTCAAATGCTTCAAAGTCTGAGATTTCTTTATGAGAGAACAGTGGCGGGAAATAGAAAAATCTACTAGCAATATGTCTATAACCCTCGTCTAATTTACATAATGAGCTTCGTCAGTATTTATAGCATCACAACTAACAGCACATGGTTTCCTATTTCTCCCTCAAGCAAACACAAATAACTCCGCTCCTCCTGGTGCGTAAACGACGAGATCAAGTTGACACAGGAAACACGAATGTCCACAAACTAAGGAAAAGTCCTTTGAAAACTCGAATCCATCACCTGGACTATCTCTTGTTCGTTGACATTAGCCAACATATAAGGCTTAAAACTATTCGTGTTGACTGAGGTTTCAAAAGAATGACATGTGATATACCTGCAAACAAAATGATAAACATAAGGTTACTTTACCAAAGCACAAATCATCTTTTTCATGCTGATTTTCTATAGAAACATTGTACTCAAGCCTCTTTTATCAACTGAAACCGAATGATGTGTGTTTATATGTCTAAGTCTAGACCACTTTATCTTATTTTACTATATAAGAGTAAGAAAACTAGCTTTGAAATAAAACAATAAACTATGTATACATCTTTCTTATTCTACTGAATAAGAAAAATCTTCAGTTTTTATCCCCAGTTTGCGAAACATGAAACCTTACAATAAACGAAGACAGACTAAAATATGTGCGCGTATATGTCTTGCAAAGCCATAACCATGATTCTTCCTGTCCAACAGGTTGAGTATCTCTCGAACTAGAATACATATATTTCATTGCTTATCTAATAAATTATAAGTATATTCAAAGGCCAAAACAATCTAGATTTTTTATGGAACCGACTTCTGTAAATAACAGTTTTTAATTCGAAACTTTCTGAAGTGAGTCAAAATTTATTCTTTTACGTTAGACATTTTTGGAAAAATTATCTGTTTGTCTTCCTTGAAGATAAAGTTGTACTTTCCCCTGCATTAACAAAAACCACTATTATGAGATATGAACTCTTCTGTATTACCAAAAAAAAAAAAAAACTACTTTCAACACGTGTTCTCCTCTGAATTAAGGAAATACTATCATTTCCAGATATGTATTTTGTTGCAGTTCAGCTAGAATACCCTTCCAAGGTATATACCTTTCTATTTTAAGGTAAGACTACCCTTTCAAGATATATATTACCCTGCATTAATGACAGATGAGTTTTAAGTAAAAGGCGAATCGCCTTTCCAAGATATACCCATCCAGTAAGCAAGACAACTCTTCCAAGATGTGTATTTATCTGCTCGTCTTCATTAAAGACAGATCATCTGCTGAACAATTCAGTTTGTTCTCTTATAATAATGTGTTTAAAACATATTCGCTCTACTATAGTCTATAACAGATGAACGTTTAATTTGTTGGGAGTATATTTCAGTACTCATTGATCGCTCTGTGTTTTAGATATTGAATACAAAAACAATACCTAAAAACAACACTTGTGTATATTCATATATAATACTACTTCAACACATAATATTCTAATAAATCTGTAACGTACACAAATATAACACGTGGAACTCTTTAACTTTTATAATTACTGATCAACTTGGATTTTTATTACCGTATAAGTTATAGCTCGTGTCCTAAAATACTAGATATGCACTGATCCAAACAATTAAAAGAAAATCGGAGTAACCAAATTACTTCTGGTTCATTTTTATGAAAACAGGTGTCGGATGGCCTGTAAATATCTACTACTGGAACCCATGTTAGCAAGTAATCATATTCTACTATTACCCAACAAATGTTTGTCAGTAAGACACAATATCACCTCGGACACTATTGGAAAATTGTAAATTGATGTGACTTGCTTAATGTGATTGTTCCAATGAGCTGCTGAAAGTATGCTTCCTAATCCTCCATCAGAACTGGTTCTTGTTGGTAAACACTACTTAGCGTATTTCCGGAGCATCCTTTGCGTGTTCTGTAGAATACAAACTCTTCGGAGCATCCCTTGCACAGTCTATAGAATACAAACCCTTCAGAGCATCCCTTGCACAGTCTATAGAATACAAACCCTTCAGAGCATCCTTTGCATGTTCTGTTGAATACAAATTCTGTGAGTAATACTGAACAGTCCATTGACTTTATTATACACTCTTCTACGAGGAACTTGCTAATGAGTTAAGAATGGTAAGGGCATGTGTTACCATCTACTAGCTGGTAGCCAACTGCAATTAAAATGACAATACTAACTGATGGAAGACTGTATATGCCCCATATCTTATGACATTCATGACGAATTTTGTAGCACATAAGGGTCAGAGTGGTCACCAATCTTCCTAGACTCATATGTCACCATCACCACACGTGACATACGTCCGCAAAACTATGGATGAATATGGTCGCTGCAAGTTTTCAAATGCGTGCTCATCTCCTATCTGGCCGGAATGTGAAATGTGGTTTGACTGTGAGCAAGACATTCGTCAAAACGTTGTTTGACCACTCCTTGTAACACCACTAAAGATAAGCTGTTTTATTGTGGTGTGTTAGAGAGGCACTTAACGTAGGTCATCTGGCATGAAATCCAATCTTCTAAAGCCTGTTTCTGACCGTTTACATGTTGAATTGTCGTCCAGTTGCTGCTCTAAACTGTTTATTCAGTTGAAAAGTTAAGGCTCGCCGATCGTGTTGAGCCCACATTGTCATATTACAATCGTCTTGTGGGTTATCGACAATGGTTAATCGTACAACAGTCGTCTTGTGGGATATCGACAATTGTTAACCATACAACAGTCGTCTTGTGGTTATCAACAATAGTTAACCATACAACAGTCATCTTGTGAGTTATCAACAAAGGTTAACCATACAACAGTCGTCTTGTGGTTTATCCACAATGGTTAACAATACAACAGTCGTCTTGTGAGTTATCGACAATGGTTGACCATACAACAGTCGTCTTGTGAGTTATCGACAATGGTTAACCATACAACAGTCGTCTTGTGAATTATCGACAATGGTTAACCATACAACAGTCGTCTTGTGGGTTATCAACAATGATTAACCATACAACAGTGGTCTTGTGGGTTATCGACAATGGTTAACCATGTCCAGGTCTCCAGACTAGTTCATCAGTGGTCTTGTGGTTATTGACAATGGTTAACCATGTCCAGGTCTCCAGAATACTTCATCAGTGGTCTTGTGGTTATCGACAATGGTTAACCATGTCCAGGTCTCCAGAATACTTCATAAGTGGTCTTGTGGTTATCGACAATGGTTAACCATGTCCAGGTCTCCAGACTACTTCATCAGTGGTCTTGTGGTTATCGACAATGGTTAACCATGTCCAGGTCTCCAGACTACTTCATCTGTGGTCTTGTGGTTATCGACAATGGTTAACCATGTCCAGGTCTCCAGACTACTTCATCAGTGATCTTGTGGATTATCGACAATGGTTAACCATGTCCAGGTCTCCATACTAGTTCATCAGTGGTCTTGTGGTTATTGACAATCGTTAACCATGTCCAGGTCTCCAGACTACTTCATCAGTGGTCTTGTGGTTACTGACAATGGTTAACCATGTCCAGGTCTCCAGACTACTTCATCAGTGGTCTTAATTAAAGCGAACTTGCATCCCCTTGACCATACATTATGAGACTTGCAGCTGCTCCGGAACTTGTAGGGTTTGACCGGCGACTAGCTGACTTATTACTATACACATGATGAGAAAAACCTACACTACAGTCCTGGCATGTTTCATTATCATTGTGGATATTCTTACACAATCACGCACACTATTGTCTAAACTGTTAATCAAAACACACTACGTTATCTTCATTCTCATACACGAATGAAATGTTCATCATGCATCATCTAACATTTGTTTCATATAACAATTAACTTAGGTGTATCATTTACACTGTATAACCTACCTAATAACAGCAGTCGTGTCTTGTCATAGCTAAAATAAAAGAAACTCTGGCTATTCCTTAACTGTTTTGGGTAATATATTAAACTAAAACGCCCCCCCCCCCAGTGGCACAGCGTGATGTCTGCGGAGTTACAACGCTAGAATCCGGGTTTTGATACCCGTGTAACACAGATAGCCCATTGTGTAGCTTTGTGCTTAATTCCAAACAAACATACACTATAACGGAGAAATTTGACTTGCATTTTAAACTGATAGGTATTATGTACGCCCCATAGCTTTCCACACTTTTAATGATATAATAAAAAAATTAACAAACGCACATATATAGAAAGATCAACAAACTACACACCATTATGTAATTGTTAATGATTATATATTTTTAATAATCCAAATTTAACTGCTTACATTATGATGTTTCTAGTTAATACGAACATCTTTCCACTAAATACTTACCGAATTTTTCGGAATATAAGACGCACCCTTGTTTTGAAGACAAAGTTTTGGGGGCAAAAAAAAGCTACAGTCGCATTTGAAAGATTTTTATGGAACAAAAATTCAATTTGATACTTTAAAAATTAGTATATATTGTTCTAAACACAAAAGAGCTCAAAACATCAAAATAAGAAAATACCGTACATCAAAAAAAGGTTTACTGTTATTTAGTTATGTTCAAAACCTACAAAATCTTGATTGTTTTAACTGTA